ATTCCTGCTCCCCATGGGGAGTTTGCAGTTGTGCACACACACGGATATACACACATGTAAGTACATGCGCACATACATAACTGCATGATGCATGCATACATGCACACGATGTGCACACAAGTAAATCCATGCACGCACGTACTCATACATGCGTGCTGTGCACACACATACATGATGCATACACACACACACACCCCCTAAGGCTGCTCTAAGTAGTGCCAGGCAGAAATAGGAGTAGGTCAAAGCAGCTTCCTGAGCTGTGACTGGAGAGTTTACCTGGAAGCGGAGCAAAGTGTGGCACCCCTGCCCTGTTCCCGGGCAGGGACCAGACATCCCTTGCAGCACAGTGAGATCAGGCTCCATCACACAATGTGTACAAATGCCCTGTGATTCAGTTGTTGGCAGCTTGACCGCACTGAAGCATTGACACCTGGAGTCAGATCTCTGCAGGGTCCTGAGTGCAACTAACCCATTGGGGTGGGTTTATTCTAATGGTAAACCCTGGGGTCCTTTCCATTCACCCGGACCTCGGACAGAATGAGGTTTCTGAACTCTTCCCCACCCTGCGAGAGGGAACCGTTGGTACATGAAAGCCATAAGTTCCCCAGAACAGGAGCTTATAAACTCCCTGAAAGCTGCAAGGCTGGAGTATGTCAGGCAATGCAAGCCTGGGAAGCAAGAGGAGTCTGTCCGGGGGCTTTCTTTCAAGGACCACTCATCAGGCCTGCTGTGAACCGCCAACTCAGCTACACACTGCCCGAAGACCACAGTTGTGCTGCAGATTATAGCACAAGTGGCTTTTCAGGCTTTGTTGGCACTAGGGGCAGATCCTCACTCACCCAGAGGCGTGTAGGAGCTTTGGCCCTGCTGATTGCAGCCGCCTGTGTCTTTGTCCCCTTGTCAATTGTGGCTATTTACACTAGTGCCCTTGTCAATTGTGGCTGTTTCCTATAAGCAGGACAAACCCCAGATCTCACCAGATCTGGAGCAAGAGTGCGATCAGTGCCCAGCAGCCTCTGAAACATAGGGAAACGCTTTCCCTCATCCCTTTCCCTGTAAAACGTGCCTGTTTCATCACAGAGCTTGCTTGCTCTCTCACGTGGTAAAACTCCAGTGGCTGTCACAGAAGAGGGGGCCCAGATTTGAGCGTGGCTTCTTCCCAAGCGCCGGTGGCTGGTCTCCGTTAGGGATTTGACGCCAAGATCCACATGCCTTAGTGCCGTGAACACGTGGTCTGTGTGTGTAACCTCGTGTCCCAGTTCCCCTGCAATCCACAGCCGACTTCTCTGGAGTGCCTGAAATCTTACTTAACTGGGAAAACCAACCCCCAGCTCAGCCCTGCCTCTCTGCCTTGCAAATCCCTGTCTCTGTGCCATGTGCTACTTCCTCAGTGCCAGATCCCTGGAGCCCACCTGGGGTAAATCAGCCCAGCTCCGCAGGTTCACACCCCCAGAGCTGGGCTGATTGGCCGCAGTAGGCAACTTGGCCCTTGGCTGCTTATGTGATTGTGTTTAACCTGATTTTATAAAACAGAGAGAAAAAAAAACCAAGATGTAAATCTTCCTCATCTTTTATACGTTTTATTTTTATTAAAAAGAGAATGTGATGCTGTTGTGCAGCTGCTTTAATTGCTATTTTAGGAGCCTGCCGACACTAGGAGAGGAAAAGGCCTGATTTCTCTACCTTGGGGTGTGGTCATGGACATTGCTCCAAAAGGACATAAAATGCTGCTGCAGCTTTGCCCCGGTGCAAAGGAGTAGGGCAAGGGAGATAACTCTATTAACTGAGCACTGTTCATTGCAAAGGAGCTCGACGCACAGGCTGTTTTATTACTTTCCAACCTGTGGGAAAAGCAGCCGGCTCTGGGGTGGAGGCCTTTTAACAGCAACAGCGTGCGAGAAGAGGGGAAGAGAAGCCCCTGCTGAAAGAGAAGGAAGAGTTTACAACAGCGCAGAAGGCAAACAAGGTTCTTTGGGTGAATCCGATATCTTTTATTAGACCAACTTAAATAGTTGGACAAAAATTTTCTTAGCAAGCTTTCGGGTTTCAGGAAGCCTCTGCAGTTGGTGTGTGCATTTCCGGAAACCTGGCAACAACCCACACCCCTGCAGCAATGCTGAAGTCTCGTGCGCGGTGCTGCTGCGTAATACAAAAAAAGGGGTCCGTTGTTCCCCTTCGATAGATGGAGAAACCAAGGCACGGGGCAATTGAACTGCAATTGCAGTGGTCTTGGGAACTGGTGGGAAAACTGGACAGGGATCCCAAGAGGAGAGCATGAGACCACAGCTGAGGTCTGGGGAAGGGGTCATAGGACAATCAGGCAAGGTAATTACGCTTCTGGCCCTTTAAGAGTCTTGATATGGTTCTGGCCCTTTAAGAGCCATGAACTCAGGGTGGCCCTTCAAGCCGGTGATGTAACACCGAGGAGGGACCGCGGTGTCTGCGCATGCTCCATTCGGCCAACCCCCACCCCCGAGGAGCCATCTTTGTCTGGGGCGGAGCCTTTGGTCGCCATCTTTGCTGTGGTGAGGAAGCGCGCGGCGCCCTGGCCGGCGCGAGCTTCTGCCTGCACTGAACATGAGGGCGACGCCGCGATGCTGATTGGCCGAGCGGCCGAGCCCCGCCCTCGCGCGCTCACTTCCGCCTGGAAGCCTGGCCCGGGCGTGTGGGGGCGCCGCCATGGGGCGGGGGGAGGCGTGGGGGCCGGGGGGCGCCCGCCCCAGGTGAGTGCGTGGAGGGGGCCTGTGGTCTGAGATCCAGCTGGGGGAAAGGATTTGGGGCCTAGCTGTGGGGGGCTGGGGTCCGGGGGGCGGTTGGGGGTCTGTCTCTGGGGTGGGAGGGGCCTGGGGGTCCAGCTGGGGGGCAGGGAGGTGGTCTGGGGTCCAGACCCAGCTTGAGGATGGTGCCGGGGAGGTGGGTGGGGCGGGCCCAAGGAGAGGCTTTAATGGCAGGGCTCCCTTGGGAGGCTGGGGAGGAGCTGGGGGGCTCACCTGGAGCTGCCTGGCTGGGGGGCAGCTTGGGGAGGGAGGTATTTGTGGGGCACTGCTGGGGGGAGGCGGTCAGAGGGGAAAGTGGAGGGTGCTTCTGAAGAGAAGGACTTGGGGGGTGCAGGGGCAGGAGGGGCAGTTGAGAGAGGCCTGGGGGTAATTGTGGGGGCGGGGAGGAGCGGGTTGATGGGAGTGCAGCTGCTGGGGTGACAGAAAGGAGCAGCGAGCGAGGAGGTTGCTTTGGGTGCATCTGAAGGTGGCACCTACAGCAAACCCCTCTGGCCAAAACCTGCCAGCTCTGTTTCGGTCACAGACCCATCTGGATTTCATGCCCTCAAAGCTGCTTTGGACCCATGGATAAAAGGGGTTGAAAAATAGGCAGCAGCTGGGGCTGGCAGAGGCTCCATCTCCCCAACCCTGGGTGCATTTAGTGCGGTGCTGGGATGAGAGTTAAAGAGTGACTTGCTCGATTTGCTGCTGGGTCCCCTGGCTTTCCTGCCTGGGAGAGACCTCGCAGGCGGCGGTGCATGGAGCAGCACGGATCCTGGCTCGGCCCATTTCTGGATGCCTCCCAGGTCTTTGAGTCCAGGCATTAGTATGCTGCACAGAAAAGCTCCCCAAACTGAGAGCAGACAAAAGCCATTGGCCAAAGAGTGGCATTTCAATACAGCAGCAGCAGAACGAGCTTGCCGCAGGGATGGGCCGGCCTGTGCTGAAGGGGAACAGGTTGTCCCTCCCGACTGTTTGAGATGAGGTGGGAAGCCTGCTCTGGCCTCTTCAGTTCGTAGCAAGGTGTTTGCAGCCAGTGTCCAAGCACTCAAAGGAGAGTTTAGCAGTACTGGGGTTATCCCGAGACAGGCGTCCTTTCCTCCCAGGAAATGCAGCAAGTTTGGGTTGGGGTTTCCAAAGAAAAAGCCCTGCATTTGCCCTCTGAGGTCCCCTTCATGCTTTGCCATCACACTCTTCCCGGTAGGTAAGAAAGGTCTGGAGAAACTGAGGCACAGAAAGGTGAAATGACTTGTCTGGGGCCACACAGCAGGGCTGCAACAGAGCCAGGAGCAGGAACCCAGGAGTCCTGCTCCCTGACGTGCTTGTAAACACAAGGCAGGATTATGTTTCCTTCTGTTCTCAGCAAGGGGTGGGAGGTCTCTAAAATACCATTATAAACACCAGCCTAATTTCTGTGCAGCTGTAAAGTATGCCTTTTGGCTTCCCAGCCCCCAAAGATTTTGGGGAAAGACAGCTGAGAGCATATGAATGTAGACTTTCCGTGTCCTACTCTGGGATCTGAAGGGCCTGGGCAGGATCATTTGGCAATTATTTTTGCCTTTTTTGGGAGAAGTGTAGAAGTTGGAAAGGGGATGTCTGGCTGGGGAGATGTTTGGTGGGATGATTACATTGAGTAAGGCCCTCTAAGTGCTAGGTACAATCTTAATCCTGGAAAAGCTCCCCTTGTGTTAAACTACAGGTGAAATCCTGGCTGTGTTAAAATCGGGGCATAGCTGGTGATGTGTTCCTTCTCTTCCCTCCTCCCCCAGTGTGCTTCCTTTGCCTGTGGGCCATGGGATTAAAACAGCACTGCCTGCTAGATTTTGGTCCTGAATGGAGGTGCTTATTAATGAGAGATAAAGGAAGTAGCAGTCACTTCTGCCAAATAGCTTGTGGTTTCTTTGTAAAAACAAAACATTAGAGAACTTAAACTGGTGGACAGGCCTCCTGGGGTGTGTGCGCTTTTTAATGCTGTGGACAGATCTGGTTTGCTTGCATAAATGTGTTCCCTTCTGGGTGGGGGCACGCACACGCGTGCCTGTCAAGCCTAACATGGCATGTGCTATAGCAGGGGTGGCCAGTCTGTGGCATGGGCAGTCTTTGTGTGTGGTCTGCAGCAAACTGGGGAGAGATCAGAGAGCATGGTGGCAGATAGGGCAGGAACCAGAAAGCAGAGCAGCAGATCAGGCAGGGAGCACAAGGAGGGAAGCAGAGCAGCAGATCAGGCAGGGAGTACAGGACTGAGAGTAGAATCCAGAGCCACAGATGGGGCAGAGGAAGGGGGATTGGAGTGGCACTTGGTGGGGTGTGGGGTTCACCTGTGACGGAGTTCCACGGGTCTAACAGCATTGGGTAGAGCTGTGGATTTCTTTTTGTGGAGCATTAAATTGGAGGTACCCCCAGCAAAACCCCACTGGGGTCAGGGGCTTATCACATATTCCTTTTCCCATACAGCTGTCTGTAGCCATGACCTGAGGAAGGGCACCTCGCACCTGAAACCTGGTCTAGAATCTCTCCCAGCTATGCAGCTGGTCCAATAAAAGAGGCTGCCCTGTGACAGGCATCTGTATAGTGGTCAAACTGTCCCCACATCAATGAGGTGGACACTGAACTTTCCTGGCACAGATTTCATGGTCTAGTTTTTGCTGTATTATTTACTCTGTTTGGCTATGAGAGTAACTGACATTGAGGCAAGGTTTTATATTTGCACTGGGTAAAAGAGAGGTGTTGGGGCTTCCCCTTTAGACTCTTATTTTGTAGATACCATCTGCTCTTTGGTCTCGTTGCCCATTGCCAGAAGTTGTGACCAGCTCCTAACGCTGTGCTGATGCTGGATAAATATTTTGTTGGCTAATAGCAAGCAAATACTTTTCTTCCCTAGCAGAAAAGCCCTTTTTTTGCCAGTACTTCCTCATCTCAAAATCCTCTCTGGTGAGTTCCAAAGGGAGAAGCAATTATATAAGTTGCCTTCTCCATGGGAACTCACCCATAGAGTCCAAATTACCTGAGCTGCACTGTTGGAGCGCAAGATCTGGACTCTTACGCTTTGGCACTGGCTTGAAAGAATGCATAAATTAGGGCTCATCTCTGCTTGAAAGGAAGTTTGGTTTAAGCACAGGTGTGAATTTGAAGTGTGGCAGCTGCTTCCGAAGAACTCTGCATGTTGACACTTACCAGAGAGTCCACAGGTGGAGGTACTTGGGGATTAGCTAGTTGGTCTTGAATGGCCCTGTGTGTATTCAAGACTTTATGGTTACACAGATTTAAGGCACCTTTATACAGCTAGAACTGTGCAAAAGAAGCTTTTATGTAACTGCAAATCATAAAAACTTGGCCTTCTCCAGTATTTCAGTATTAACACAGCCTTTGTTAGGCTTCTTGGGTGGATACTTCAGGGATCATAGAGCATTTGTTAGTACAGGACTTGCATATGTGCTTATGCCTTCCAGAGCTACTAATGGAGCATCCTCAGCTGTGGGCAGTGTCCTATGCCTTTAGACCAACACAGCTACAACCTGCACCCTTGCAAGTTCTTGCACTTCATTGTTGCATGACCTCAGTTTTGGAGACTGCAGATACCCAGGCATGGAGGGAACCCTTAAAACCAGCAATACCCTATCATGGAAGGGGGCTGTAACTGCAGCACCCCGGGAGCTGCAGCATCTCATGAATTCCTGTCAAGCTACTGCTGCCATCTGCAGGTTGCCCCTTCCCATCCTTCAGTGCAGGTTTGAAGCAGAGTTGCATTTTAATTGTATGCAAATCTGTTGCTGCTGATAGGAGGAAACAAACTGAAGGATCTGGCTTGGCTAAAGAAACTAGAGCTGGAGAGAGCAAAGGTGTCTTAGGGAGAGAGCGGGTGCCCTGCTGTCCGACTGGGACAGATTCCAAAGCTGCTCTCGGATCTGCTGCATGGGGCATGAGCTCCCCTGGGATCATGGCCTGCCTGGGTCTGTTAGGGTCATGGAACACCTGCAGCAGAGGGGAATTTGCTGCAGACACTTTATCTCCTACTTTCCTGGCACCTGCCCAGAAACTGGAGTCTTAGAGCCAGTGTCTACGGGAAAAGGGCCTGAATCCGTACCTGTCTGTGTTCCCCAAGTTCTGCCTGGGCAGTGACTTTACCGCTCCCAGCAGAGGGAACTGAGACAGTGGAGTTCCCAGGGACCTGCTCTGGTCCTGTCTTCTCTTTGCCCTGGTTAGGTTCAGCAAAGAGTCTCTTTGCTTTGCCTGTGGACCCATTGAAGGTTGTAGCCAACCTCTCCAAAGAGCTCAGCCTGCTCCAGATGGCAGGACTGCAGTTGTGGCATGGTGTGGCAATCAGGGCAGCAGTAATAAGAGGATGGGTTGTCAGGTGAGGGGATCTGGGCTAGATAGGCAGTGCCAGCTGTCTCATCCTGCTGCAAGAGATCCCGATGGCCTGTGAAGTGTCTTCCCAGCTCTGAGCCTGGTGACCTGCCCCCTGCATGCTGCCAAGGCAGATGGGTTGCCAGCTGCTGCAGGGTGCTAGTGGCAGGGAGGACTAGCTAGTAACCCAAGGGCTGATGATCTTTGCTCACCTAAGCTGTAAAGTACAGCCAGCCACTTTTTCCAGGCTGGGAGCTCCTTGATCTGGGGATCTCCATTAACACTTTCTTCCCAGACATACCTTCCAGGCCCACCTGAATCTCTGCTCTTGTTTCCTCCTTGTCTTCCTCCTTCCAGCCCCCTCTCTTCACTTCTCCATGAACTTGTGTTTCCAGGCTCTGTGGGCAGGGGAAGGTGGGAGGGGCAAGGAAAGCAGACAGGTGTGACTTGTGCAGGGAGTGTGGGGACGTGCTCGGAAACCGCATGTCTTGCCCTTTGCTTTGCAGACACCCTGGGACCTGGAGGGCAGGATCTTGGAGGCCAGCAGCAGCCGGGAGCTCAGAATGACCAGGAGGAAGCGGCATTGGTTGCCCATCGGTTCTCCTCCTCTGCAAGTTCGCTAGAAGGTAACAGTCGGCACACGTGCTGTATCCCTGTGCTCACATCTCACTGCACTGCACACAAGTTGGCAGGCTGTGTGAGAGGGAGAAATCCTGGCACAAAGAGGTGAAGTGATGTGCCAAAGCATCTCCCCTGCTCTGGAGAGCTGGTGTGATATGACCAGCAGGTCCCATCCTGTGCCTGGCATATCAGACCAAGGCTGAGCTCCTGCTCCTGTTACCTGGCAGACACAGCAATACCTACCCCCAGGGTCCTGCAACATCTTGGATGGAGTAATCATAATGTGGACTCATCTATGCTTGAGGCACAAGTAAGCCAGCTGCACATCTCGCCCGATATGTTCCTGTCCCCATCTTCTGCTTTGTGTTGATCTTTGAATGCAAAACCTTGCCTGCAGGTTGGCTCTTAGCCAATGGTGGCATCCTCAAAACAACATTTTGTTGCCTGAGAGCCTAGAACCCCCTTTCCATTGAACCCCCCCCTGCCATTGCTTGTAGCAGTAATTTGGTTTCATTCCATTGAACCCACCCCTGCCATTGCTTGTAGCAGTAATTTGGTTCCAAGGTAGCTTTCATTCAGCACCTTGGCTAGCTTGAAGGGTCCCAGTAGGGCTGGGCCTGCGCGAGGCAGTCATGGAGTGGCATATCCCCTGGGCATTCATTTTCCCCCTGTCTGCTGCAGGGAGCCATGCAGGACAAACGAAACATCCAGATCATCGAATGGGAACATCTGGACAAGAAGAAGTTCTATGTGTTCGGCATCTGCATGACCATGATGATCCGGGTGAGCGTTTACCCCTTCACGCTCATCCGCACGCGCCTGCAGGTCCAGAAGGGCAAGAGCCTCTACAATGGCACTTTCGACGCCTTCGTCAAGATTTTGCGGACGGAGGGGGCATCTGGGCTGTACCGTGGCTTCCTGGTCAACACCTTCACTCTCATTTCGGGCCAGTGCTATGTGACCACCTACGAGCTCACCCGCAAGTACGTGGCATGCTACAGCAATAGCAACACGGTCAAGTCACTGGTGGCCGGTGGCTCGGCCTCACTGGTGGCTCAGAGCATCACAGTGCCCATCGATATAGTCTCTCAGCACCTCATGATGCAGCGTAAAGGCGAGACGATGGGCAGATTCCGTATCCAGAACTCAGACTGTAAGCGGGCCCTTGTCTTTGGCCAGACCAAGGAGGTCATTGTGCAGATCTTCAAGGCCGACGGGTTGAGGGGCTTCTACAGGGGCTATGTGGCCTCTCTGCTCACCTATATTCCCAACAGCGCTGTGTGGTGGCCCTTCTATCACTTCTATGCAGGTAGGTGAAAGAAGATTTTTTGCCATGACCTGGGGAGGGGCCATCATGGTATGCTGGGGCCTAAGTTAGATCAGAGCTGCAGCTGCTGACTGGAAAGGGTTTTCTGTATAGCAAGCCACCAAGCATATCTCATGGTTGAGGGTTCATTCCCTCTGCTGGGCTGCTGCAGGGTGCAAGGTTGGGAATTGGCTGCAGAAGCTAAAGGAAGAGTCACTTTATTGCTGATCTTTGCAAGAAGCTCCTAATATCCTCGCTACTTGGTCACGGGAGCAGGACACAGGCCCCGTGTCCCTGGAGGAAGAGGGTCTTACCTTCCTGACAGAGTGGACGTGGGATGCTGAGGGACATGTAGCCCCTGTGTGTTGGTGATCCTGCTTTTTTGAGAGGTGCTGGTGGGGAGTGCAGATGCCACATGAAGCTGGTACAGAGCAGTCAGGGATCCATCCATGGCCACGCCTGTGTCCATAACATCCCTCTGCCTCCTGTTCCCAGAACAGCTCTCACGCCTGACGCCAAAGGACTGTCCACACCTCCTCCTCCAAGCCATTTCGGGCCCGCTTGCTGCTGCCACGGCCTCCACACTCACCAACCCAATGGATGTCATCCGGGCTCGTGTACAGGTGAGGGCCTGGCCTGGCGTGGCCTCAAGAGCAGCAAGACTGGGGAATATGTGATGTGGGCCCTGGTACCAGCTCTGCCCCTGATCCCTGCTGTCTCAGGGGAGTTGCTTAATCGCTTCTCAGTGTCTGCAAACATTTAGTGCTGGGTGCTTCCATGGGTTGTGGCACATTTGGGGGTCTTAGCCTTCCTCTCCATGCCTCACTCTCCCTCTCTCCCTAATCAGTATATCATTGGAGCTGTTCGCTTGAGGGAATGTGGCCCTTTAAGGCAGCTGGACTTAGTCTTGCCTGTGACTAATCGGATACTTCCCTGGTGATGAGATTAAAGATCAACAACCAGCTTAGTGGGTTGGGGATCACGGAGGAGCCTGAGACTAAGGGGAAAGCTTGGGTCATTGTGTCAGCCCTGGCCCCCCCAGCAAGAGAAGCTGTGGGACAGACAGGGTCATAGCACGAGGCCTGGATGGGCATATTTGCAGTGCAAGCAGCAGAAGGCAGTTGTGAAGCTGGAGGAGGAACAGGAGGTCAGGCGTGGTGCGCTAGTCTTGTTGGCTGCTGCACCCTGCGTGTCTGAACAGTGACAGTGCCCGTCATGGTAGGGCATGAAATCCAGGGGCTGGGAACTCCACTGATGCACAGGCTGGAGAGCTGGGTGACCAGCTGTTGCTTGAGAGTAGGGATCCCAAGGCAGGGACTAATTCAGTATTTGGAGAAACCCCATCCTGGCCTTTTAAGTTCCTTCCTGGTTCCTCTAGTTGGCTCTCGCTCCTTAGCCAGGACACTGGGCCGGATGGCCTGCTAGTCTGCTCTGGCTTGCTAGTTCCTCTGTTTTTGCATCACATGAAAACCAAACAGCAGCTGGATGTTGAGGCAGGGGTGAGGGCAGGGCAGGACTGTCTCGCTGGTGTTGCAAAGTAACCTCTTAGTGAGCTGTGCTTGGAGCTGCTGTCCCTGACACCACTCGAGTATCCTGCTGGAGAGGCCTCTCCACACAGCTCCCTCTCCTAACCGTCTCCTTCTGGGCTTTGCAGGTGGAAGGCAAGAACTCCATCATCCTCACGTTCAAGCAGCTCATGGCAGAGGAAGGCCCCTGGGGCCTAACAAAAGGCCTCTCCGCCCGCATCATCTCAGCTACCCCTTCCACCATCGTCATTGTGGTAGGCTACGAAACGCTGAAGAAGCTGAGTCTCCGCCCAGAGTTCATGGACTCAAGACACTGGTAGCAAACAGTGAGGGAGAAACCTTACAAACCCCATGTCTTTTGGGCCATTATCACGGTTGAAAGCTCATCGGAGGCGCAGCCAGGTCTTGATTGCAGGCTTGTCCAGGCTTCACGCCAGAAGATGGAAGCATCTGTCTCTTCAGATTCGGCCGCCAATCCAACCTGCTGCTGTGAGTTCTGGCTCCAAAATGCAGCATCTTTGGCCTGTGATGATTCATTCCCAAGCACCCAAGTGTGCGAGTAAGCCTGACCCATTTCTGAGCCCCTATTTTTAAATTAAAGAGACTAGGGTTTCACACAGTGACAAAGTTTTAGTCTTTACGTGGATTTTAATCTTTGCCAAACGTCTCAGCAGGGCGAATCCCAGCAAACTCTACCGGGGCCCCCATTGGAAAGTGTGCCAATAGCACTGGTTTTGATAGAGGGGAATTGGAAAAATCTGTAATCTATTAGTTTGTTTCTATAAAAAATGAGCAAAACTTTTTCCAGACACCCACATTTTTCCTGTAGCAGATGGGGGAGAAGTGTAGCAGAAGCCTGGCACGGTCTCAGAAGCCGTGCCGACCACTTTCTGAATAGATCTGTACATAATTTTCTCTTTTTTTGTATATTCTTGGAATCAGTTTCACTTCCTCGCTCTTCTTCCAAATGTCTGACTAGTAGCTGTTGATGCGCGCTAGAGTTAAGTATCATTTGAGTTGGCTTTTCATTATAGCCCATGGCAATTATGACACCTACTGCAGATTTTAATCAGCTATATATATATTTCTTTTATTTCTGAGTGGGAAGTCTTGTTTATTGAAGGGACTGCCAGGTTTTTCTGTGGCCTTGTAAATTGTGAGTGTAAATATTCTACGTCCTGTGGAAACGGCTGCTGTTGTCATCGTCTCCCTGCCCCTGCCCCCCTTGCAGCATCTTCAGGGACAAACCAATCCAGAATCTGGTGGGAACGTCTGAGCATGGCTGGGACTGGATTGAGCTGAAGCAAAATGGGAGGAAGATGTGTGCTGCTGCCCCACCCCGTGCAGGCTGGATAGACGTGCATGTTTTGGCTCCTTGAGACTAAATAGATCTGTGCAGGTGATCAAAGGGATGGAGAATTTCCTCTTGCTGTGAGGAGACTTCTTTCAAGCTGGGACTCCTCCCCTCCCTCTTGATCCAGCTGGAAAGCAGAGTCCCACCTTGGATTCTGCTGCATTGATCACATTACTCCAGGTTCGTGCCTCATGACAGGGTGGAAGCCAAGCCAGAAGCGTTGCTGACCCCAGCTTGTCATAAGAACCAGGGCTGGGTAAGATCAAGTCTGTTGCTTCTAAGCAGTTGCTTCCACGTGGCTGGTGTATCTATTTAGGGCTGGTACCTGGCTACCTGTTGTAGGTCTCACTCTCTTAATGGAGTATTCAGTCTTGACTTCTGCTGATGGGCTCTCCTCTCACTCGAGCTCTGCTGGTCTTTATAGCCCCCATGGTGTGGGCTTCTCACAGGCCCCAAACCTCTGCTATTTGACACCTGCTGCAATGAAGAGAGTACAGTCAACTCTGGGGTGCAACACAAATCACCTTCCCCACAAAACATGAGTAAATCACTGAATCTCCATGCTCCAGGTCACCTGGGGGGTGATCTGAAGATGAAACCATCACTGCAAAGGTGCTAAGACATCGTGCACTTGGTTTTCAAACTAAGACTGAGCAGGAAGAGATGCTACAGGTAAAAAATGTGCCTGGAGGCAACTAGCTGGTACAGTCCAACATCTTGTCTTGCCTCTATCCTCTTGTGGGATCTGTGCAGGAATACAAAGTCTAGAACTCCCTTCTTCAGCATACTCCCATCCTTGATCTGGTGTACGGTCCCTTAAAAGGATGGACAAAGGGGGTTTCCACACAAACTTTTGGGGTGAGGGGGCATGGTTGAAATGGTGAACCTGGAAAAAGAAAGAGATTCAGACTTCTTGGGCTTCTCATCTGCTCCAGGACTTGTGACGGTATCAGGGGGAAAAGGAGCTTCTGTGTGTGTATACTTGCAAACATGGTATGAAGTACGCCTAACGGTTATATAGATTAATATTGTTTGTTATGTTTTGTCAGCCTCAGCACTTTGATAAGTGCAAAAAGAAATGACATCCCAAAAGAAACAAACCATCCTTCATTGGAAAACTGGTTTTCCTAACTCAGGCAGGTAACTTGCGGTTTCTAATGGGTAACTCTTGAAATCTCAGGAGCTGTGTCGCTCTTGGTAACTCTCCTTGTTCTAATAATTGAACGGTGCGCTGCAGAACTGGTCTAACCGAACATTGTGTGTTGCGGCTGCTAGAAATTTTATCCTAAAGGGACTGAAAAGCACGAGCCAACTGGCCAGAAATCTCCCTTCAGAGGCCCCCATAGTAGCTGTTACTGAAATCAAGGAGAGATGGAATTTAGCTGTAAGGAACTACATTTCACACCCTACCATTTCTCGATAGAATAGCTGATGAGCCGTTTCCAGCTGGGCCAGAGAAGCTGGTAACACACTACAAAGGACTGGGCTCTTCAAATGAGAGATTTCACACCTGAGCCACTGGGACAAACCTGCTGAAAGCATCGCGTGCTTCACAGGAGCCCTTCTCAGTTTGATTTTTTTTTTTTTTTTTTTTTTGTTTTTTCCTCCTTGCTAAAAGATTTGTGTTTGAAACCTGCTTTGCTTCAGAAGAGCTGATTCTGCAATGACGGTGCTAATCCTGTCTTTGGATGCTGCACACGGTTCAACTGTGGGAGAGTCTCAAGCCTTGATCTGCAAGAGGAGATGGGGTACTGGGATCTGGGGACACATACCTGCCAGGAGGAAGGATAAGAAGCTGCTTCATTTTTAAGGGACACTGTCACATTTGGGTTAATGAGATGAGAGCACCCACAGTCCTTTAGATAATTAAAACCCAAAACTCTAAAGGGATGCATTTTGTTTGGAACTGCATCAGTTAGGATATGAATTCTGAGCGCTCTACTTCCTCTTGGGTCTTTTGCCAATCTCCGTGGTCTCACAGGTGCACTTTCTTCTTTGAAGACTTCATTTTCCCACAGCACGCCAGCCGAGAAACTATGACGCAGCAAAAAGGATTGTGTGTAATATTAAAATACATTGGAAAAAATATTAGTGCCATGTGTAGCATCTAGAAGTGACTTGACCTTCTCCTCTGAAACAGACTTGATCTCAAGTGAGTGGTGCCCGTCCATAGGGCCATCCAGTTGAACTAGCCGGGATTTAACTCCAACAAGGGGCAGAATAACTTTGCAGAAAAACCTGATTAATCTCTCTTTCCTGGAGTCCAACAGGCAGCTCCTGCAATCTCATACCCACCTCAAATTATTCCTCCTTCTCCCCACATCCTTCAGACTTAATTGATCACTTTTATTTAATGACCAAGCCTAATTCTATTTCATTCGGTCTTTTAAGATCTGACTCAGGTGGGGGCTTACCCCAGGGATTTCCTAGTAGAATAGACAGTGTCTTCTATTCATCAGCCCTTCTGCTCATGGCTAGATCATTTTTTGCTGTCGTGACAGATAAATCACAAGGGAATTGAAGCACCTTTTATTTATATTGGTTGGTTTTGGGTTTCTTTCCTTCTTTTTGTTGGTTCTGCTCCAATGTCCCCTGGAGGAAATCTGTTCTTTACCTGCTGTGACCATTTGCGGTGGTACGGTATCTGCCTTCCTTGAAGTTTGCTTATCTGTTATAGGATATTGTCAAGTTAGTCTTGTGACCTCTCTCCCTCCAGTCTTTCTGATATACTGCTGATTTTAACATGCAGTAGATGATTCCCCTTCTGGTATCTGGTGAGCAGGTGTAATTGTTTCCTGATGAGATCTGTGCATGTCTTAACCCCAAGTGCAAACACCTGTAGGTAACTTCATAAGCATTTAGGCCTGAGAGGATGGCACACTTCTGATCTTGCTGTTTTTGAAAATATGGGGGTGCCATCTGAACCGTCTCATACCTAAATACTGGTGCATAAGATGAAATCTGGGAAATGGGTCTTAGCAACACTTCCATTGTTTCAAAATAATTGCGATGCTGGAATCAAGGGTCTCCATGAGATGGCTTTTTGGAATGGGGTGTGGGGAGTGGAAAAGGTCTGTAAGCTATGTCTCAACTAGCCTGCCTGCGTCCACCGCAGTGGGAGTACAGAACAATATGACTTGGTGCCTGCTCTGCAATTCGATACTGAGTGAATGTATTGTGTATATTAAACAGGTTTCACTGTTTGCACTGTAACAAGTCTTGGAAGTCTAATTAAAGTTTTTATTATTTATTTCACCCTCTCCTCATGCATGGTGATTGGTTCAATGGTTTTAAATGTTGGCGTGCTTGCAAGGCAACTTGATCCAGTCTTATTTGGTGTAACAAAGTATTTCATGCTTATAGCAGAGGAAAAATTGTATGAGAAGTGGAAGGTGGCCTGATTACTTCAATGTCTTAGGCTAGTATAAAGCTCCACTGAATTTAGCTTTATACTCTTGAGTATAAACCTAGTGTTGTCTTAAATACTGGGACAATATTTCCTTCTCGCCTGATGGTTTCAGTCAGATTGTCACCTAGAACGGTACCTGCTTCACGTCGCTTCCCATCTTTGCAGAGACAGCCCATGGTGTTGCATTCTAACTGCTCCTTCCACTTCACACACTGCTCTGGGCTGTTTTTTCCCAGCATCTGAGGAAGTGAACTTGGGTTCAGGAAAGCATCAAGTCAGAAGGCAGGGTAGATAGACATCCCTTGCAGAGCAACTAAATAAGATTACATTCAGAAATACTCACACACAGCATAGCGCACAGGCTTCCTGTACTCTCCCAAGAGATAGAGGAGCCTTCACTTTGAATTTCCTGCTTCTAGCACAGTCCTGGTAGATTATGACAATATCAAGACAGAAGGCAGGGTAGACATGCACCCTTATCAACTAGCTAAGTAAGGTGTGTGTGTGTATAATATGATATATACTATAGTATGTATATAATGTGATATAGTATTATATCACATTATATATCAAGTAATTATAGGCCTGTAAGCCTCACCTCGGTGCTCGGGAAGCTCTTGGAGAGGATCATCAAGGAGCACATTTGTGGGGGGCCTGCAGGGGAGATCATGCTCAGGGGCAATCAGCATGGCTTCACCAAAGGCAGGTCCTGCCTGACCAACCTGATTGCCTTTTACAACCAAGTAACTAAATCCTTGGATGATGGTGTTGCTGTGGACGTAGTCTTTCTAGACTTTAAGAAGGCCTTTGACACTGTCTCTCACCCCATCCTCATCAACAAATTAAGTGACTGCGGCATTGATGCCTGCACAGTTGGATGGGTAAAAAATTGGCTGATGGGGCGCACCCAGAGAGTAGTGGTGGGCAGGTTGTACTCAGCCTGGCAAGATATGAGCAGTGGTGTACCCCAGGGCTTGGTCCTCGGGCCCGCACTGTTTAACAACTTCATCAGCGATTTGGGCGAGGGAGTGGAAAGCACGCTGTCCAAGTTTGCTGATGACACTAAGATGTGGGGCGAGGTGGACACACTTGAAGGGAGAGAGGGGCTGCAACTAGATTTAGACGGACTACAAAAGTGGGCAGACGAGAATAGGATGGGGTTCAACGTAGATGAATGCAGGGTGCTGCACCTTGGGAGAAGGAATCCACAGCACACATACAGGCTGGGGAGTTCCCCTCTTGAAAGCACAGAGGCAGAAAGGGATCTCGGAGTCATTGTTGACTCCAAGATGAACATGAGCCGCCAGTGTGACGAAGTAAACAGTAAAGCTAACCACGCTCTTATCATGCATTAGCAGGTGCATCATGAACACGTCCAGGGAGGTGATATTTCCCCTCTACGCGGCACTGGTCAGACCACAGCTGGAGTACTGTGTCCAGTTCTGGGCACCGCACTTCAAGAGGGATGTGGATAACCCTGAGAGGGTCCAGAGGAGGGCCACTCTTATGGTTAGGGGCCTGTAGGTAAGGCCCGATGAGGAGACTGAGGGACCTGAATCTCTTCAGCCGCTGCAAGAGAAGGCTGAGAGGTGATCATGTGGCCGTTTACAAATTCACCAGCTGGGCGGGGGGCAGCAAGAAACAGGCGATGGCCAAAATCTGGAACCAACTTCCCAGGGAGGTGGTCCTCGCTCCTACCTTGGGCATATTCAAGAGGAGGTTGGACGATCACCTGTCTGGGGTCTTGTGAACCCAGCATTCATTCCTGCCAGAGGGGGTCAGGCTAGATGATCTGTTCAGGTCCCTCCTGACCCTAGCTACTATGAAACTATATATATTATATAATGTGTGCACGCACACACACCTAAGATTGACTAAATGTATAAATGAGATTTTGTATGTATAAATATGGATAAATCTCATTTAGTCTATATATAAAATATGATCAGATGCTTCTTAGGTTCGCGGTTAGGGGGGGAATGTTGTGTGGGGGTGGGGGGGCTGTAAAAATAAACCAGAGGCAGCTCAGTGATGCAGAATAGACTGGATTGTATGTTAATTTGGAGGAGAGGAGCAGGGTGAGGTTCCTATGATCATAGGAAAGTCGGGCTGGAAGAGATGGCATGGTCATCTAGCCCCAGCCCCTGCTCAAGGTAGGGTTGTCCCTGACTTGGATATCACAGCCCAGTGCCTTGTCCAACCTGCTCTTGCAGGGTCATAGAATCATGGACAATGCAGGTTGGAAGGGGCCTCAGGAGGTTGCATCTAATCCAACCTCCATCAATGCAGCAGGAGCCATTTATTGCATCAAGGCAATGAGAGAGAGAGAGAGAGAATGCGATATATATTTTGGGGGGGTGTACATACACACAGGCTTAATATATAAATGAAATTTCTATATACATTTGTATAAATAAATATGTTTAGTCTACATAATATGATCAGATGCTTCTTAGGCTGGTCTTTGTGAGTGGGGGGTAGGTGCGTGTGTAAATCATATTTAGTTAATCTATAAGGGTGCATGTCTGCCTGCCTTCTGATTTTGATATCAAGTTGATACGACTACAACTTGGATACCATCTGACTTGATATCGTCATAATCCATTGTGGCTGTGCTAGAAGCAGAAAATCGCAGGTGAAGGTATAGATATAGTCTTATGTGGTTCATTCTCATTTATTTCCTGCTTATTGCTTTACATACTTATGAATAAGTTAAGATTTACTTCGATATAACTCTTATTGCATTGGCTGCAGGGTGCACAGCTTGATGCTGTTGCCGTGGCCTGCTGCAGCAGTGCTGGAGGCAGGACAGCCGAGGGAAAAGCTAAGTATTGCCAGGTCTTAAATATGAAATTATTGTATTGGAAGCTCAAAATTATCATATTTGCTGAAAAACTATTATACACTGAAAAATATGCAAATAAGTATGCAAATGCATCTTGTGGGAAAGCAGGCAGAGGCCAGTGGATGCAGGAAAGCCAGTCAGATAATGTAAATTGAGGTGGTCTGCAGGTGAGAGACAGGTGGGTTGGTGAGGTGGGGATGAATGTAACTGTAGGCAAAGGATGAGACACGAGGTGGGGAAGGGAATGAGAATCGCTGGTAAAAAGTGGAGGGTTTGCCGGTTTCAGGGGTGTATTTGGTAGCTGTGTTGGTCTGAGACAAAAAAATGCAAAACTCTAGAACTCTTGGTTCAGAGATGATACCTTTTATTAAACCAGCTAAGACATCACAAAAAAGTATCTTTTTCTGCAAGGTTTCAGGCAGACACGCCCTTCCTCAGGTTCAGGGAAAATTAAAAGATGGTAAAAAGTCCTGTGTTATAATGTGTCATAAATCCATTGTCCATGATTCATAAATCCATAAATCCATTTAGTGCATGATTTTTTTTTTTTGTATCCAAGTAGGTTGATGAAGTGAAATTCATGGGCTCATCTGTGCAAGGTGTTTTGTACATTCCCTTTGAGGATTAGATCTGAGAGATTGGAGATGGAGTGACTTTTCTATGTCCTTAAACCAACACAGCACAACCTCCACCCCTCCAATTTTACTGTACATGTTGAACACTTTTAGCCTTCTTGGTGGTAAAGGAGACAAGGGTTGAAATGATCGTATACATATAGATTTATACATTTATTGTAGCAATATGGTATTTACGGTAATTACCGTAATTATTTACGGTAATTGTGGTCTTTCCTGGGGGAGCACAGGGAGGCTCTGCGTCTATTCTTGAGCGGGGAGGTGGACACGGCCTTGCAGGGAAGCAGCAGGGCCGGGCCGGACCGAGCCCAGCGGGGGAGGAGCAGTCCGGCCCCGGCGCAAAGACGCTGCGGCAAGAGGCTGCAGCTCGCACATGGCAGCATCAGGAACGCACTGCGCAGGCGCCGTGCGAAGCTCGGGCCACGTGGCCCCATTGAGCCAATAAGTGCAACGCTGCCACTACAGCCAATGGGAAGAGGCGGTGGGCGGGCCTGCGCTGCTCGAAGCCTTTTGGCGGTTTAAGATGGCGGCGGCGGGCGGCGGGGAGCGAGGGGAGGATGTGGGGGCCGGCCCTGCGGCGGACGAGGCGACTCCGGGTCGCGGGCAGCTCTTCGACACCATCGTGGAGACCTTTCTGGAGAAGCTGGTGACGGCGGGCAGGTGAGGGAGGGGGGAGACCTCGCGAGAACTCGGGTGGGAAGTCGCGCGAGATGTGAAAGGGGCGCGCCCTGAAGTCCCGCGAGAGTTGGGTGATATCTCGTGAGATCTGGACTTGGCCAGAGTCTTGCTATGGGAGAGGGCTGTAGGGGACGTGCCTGGTCCAGGGGTCCCGCCAGCCTGGGGGTGCTTGCCCCCTTGTCGTGCCCGGGGCGGCCTGGACCCTCCACCCTGGTGCAGTGAATGGCCCCTGCTGCATTGATGGGCTGAGACCCCCTGAGGCCCCTTCCAGCCCACCCCCCCTTTTTTTTGTTGTAAAATTATATGTCTGTGACTGTATACATCTATAGATATGGGTTTGCGTGTGTGTACATATATTTGTGTGTGTTTGTGTGTATTGTTGGTGAAGTTGTTGAAGTTCTTCAAGGAGCAGAGGTGTGGTGCACTCCTGTAAGGCAGTGGCAGTCACTGAACGCACGTGTGCTTGTGCAGGCATTAATATCGACCAGAGTGAGGCCTCTGCTGCTGCCAGAAATTAAAAAAACCAGCTGCTGTTTTGTGGGAC